CCCCAGGGGGGCGGTGATCTCCTTCTCTCTCCATATGTGGTCAGCCACGCCTGATTTTCTACTTCCCCTCGCGTTACAGAAACACCAGAAAGCTGTAACCAAGCATAGAAATAAATACAATATTAATATTATGTTGCAATATGAACTCTGTTCATCTTGCAATATAGCATTTTGAAAACATTAGGTTAGTTTGAGTGGATAAAGGCGTTGGTTAGATTACAGACCCAAAAGAGTTCAATTCCTGGTTAACTTTCAGAGGAAAAACAGATTTAACTGACATCCATCAAAATCTTAGAACAGTCTAAATCGAAATAAAGGGTTCAGTTCATTCTGATCAGACTGATAAATATGGCGACAAGGATGAGGGCCAAGTAAATACTGTTAATTCATCTCAGAAATTGACAAATTTAAACGAATTAATCCATCATCAAGCTGTTTTATTTGGTCGTAACCATCATCATGCGTTTTAATGGTCGAAAGGTCGGTAGATTCTTTGCATTTTTTCAGAATGTGCGCCCTAAGATGCTTATCGAAATTACAGTCGTTTGTAATAAAATGTTCTGCAAACTCCGTTGATGTCCTGTTGTGATAATAATAATATTAATAATAATAATAATAAGAAGAAGAAGAAGAAACTTTATTCAGTAATAAAGGAAGCCCGTAAATTCAAAATGGAATTTCAAGTGGGTGAAGAAATGCAAGTAAACCATAATACACTTACTGCAGCGGCAAAGAGCCTAGAAAAGAAAACAAAAGCAAATGCAATGTACGAAATGCAGAAAGTTAAAAATTGCGAACGTAATAATACGTTTAATAAGAGAAATCTGAAAAGTAATATTAATAAAACTCATTAACTTACTTTTCAGGTTTCAAAGGGAATCGAAACACTAACCCTTCTCTCGTAATCAAATTGCAAGAACATTTCCTGTTAGGCGAAAATTACTTCTAAATTGCCAAAATATCTTGTGGGTTTTCCTAGATTACTTGATATTATGAATTATTTTTTAAAATACCTGTGCCTGTACATGTATTTTACGTTACCTTTTATTCTACAGGTGGTGGCTAACGTTAGCCATGTTTGTCATTATCCGGACCTGATCCAGTTCTTTTATAGCCAGCGAGAATTTCAGCCATTTGATATCTACGCAATTAACGGTCGACAAGCGTGTTCAAAATGTTCTGGAGCCGGGACAGGGACAGGTTCACAGAAAAACCCTTACGTTCTGAGCATTAATATCACAGATCCAACTCAGTTTAATGCATGCCAAGGAGAAGTAAGTTGTTAATTATTTGACACTGGTTGAGAAATACAAAAGAGAAACATCAAATTTTTACTTAGTGTAGCGTATTTGATAGCTTATAAAAGTCTCTACTTATTTACATTTAATATTACAGCGTCATGAAAATTGGCCCATGACTGGTAGGATGGTTGGCTAGTGTAACCGATATCAGCATGATAAGTGAAATAAGAGTGCTGAATTCAAATTCCGGGCTAATCCCTCTATTCTTCCACACACTGGGCTAGAGAGCTTTGGGTGTCAACCAGTCTAAGAGAAGGAAAACTCTGAATTCAAAACCGTGAAGGCAACGGGAAACCAATTCACAATCTTTCCCAAGAACGCATGACAATTCACAGGTAATAAAGAAAAGGAACATGTGGAGAGCTATAATTGCCTTCGTGATGAAAAGACATGGAATCTAAAAAAAAAAATGTTAGTCTACGGTGTCAGAGAAACGTTAACCTACCAGATATTTGAACTTTGCATATGAGACCCATGGTATCATTTTTAACATAAGGAGGACAAGGGGATTTTCTATCTTATGAAATAGAATAGTTACAAATTGATAAGAACTTGATATATGAGAGAGATTGCTGATTTTACAATTGTTTAACTAAGCGCTAAGGAGATCATATTCTTCAGTTTTAAATCTAATGACTTTCCACTGTAAAAATCGATATTTCCCCAAGCATGATCCGAATAAAAATACTTAAATAAAATTTGAAAATATCTGAATCATTACAACACATCATTCTTACCTGTCATGTCATGGAAGTCTCGATGACTTCGTCCGTCTGTCAAACCCTCTAAAATAACCATACATTGAGCGATCGAAACCAAATTTGGGGGAGAAATGCAAACAGGTACAAAGTTCACTAAGTACAGTATTAATATTTTTTTAAATATAACTTTACGTAAGCTGCCTAAACTAATTGAAATCAATTGTTTTCGCGCGAAAACCAATAGATTTTGACTACTTTTTAACTGTTTTTTTATTTAGCAAGACTCCAGTTTGCCCTGCGTTTGCGAGAACTATAAACAAATCACAAGGCCAAACACTTCAAAAGAATTTTCTGCGGCCCGCTGGGAAACATTTTTGTGATCAATACTATTCTCAAGTTTTAATAAGTTCAATAAATTTATCCCACGTCTCTTCCATACTTTTGCAGTAGCAGTATTGAACTTGTGCAACATAGGTACTCAATAAAATTTAAGGTGAGCAGGGTTTAGTTCCTCTCCAAGGCGGGAACTCTACCTCCCCCAACACCATGTATTCTTCTTCATTTACCTGACGAGACAGTTTAAATTTATTTTGTGACAATGTCTCGTTCTCATTTTTTTTAATTTACAAAAAAGAAAGAAATTTGACAACTGATATTAGGGAAAACGGAAATAAGTATCGAATTTTTATCGACATTATATAAGTTTTTTTTTAAGGTTAACACGGAAAAGTGATAAATTTGGCTCCTCGTATTGGGGTCGGGTGTAGACACAAAAGAAAAATGGAAATCTGTTTTCATAACAAGAGTAGGAATAAATCTTATATTTGGCTGAAGTGGTACATGAGGTGGAAGATAACTCAGACAAATGAAAATCATGTTAGAAAGCAGAAGATTTTTAAATAAACTGAAATTTCAAGAAAGAAAGGTGTGTGTTTTTTTGGTCAACTACATAATTGAAAAGAAAAATGTTGACAACACTTATTCTGCTTTAGAGGATTTGTGAATTTGGTGGAATAATAATTCTGAGTTCAATCCCTGAGCTGGGTTGTATAGAATCAGTTAAAGCAGGACTGACAATAGTTGCTTGAATTGAACGGAACGAGAACAGGTTTTCCCATGTATTGAATAGGGGGTATCGGTTCGGGGTTCCCTATGAGGTTACTGGCATCACCTGAGCAGGGTACGCATCAGCTGAGGCGTTGTGATGATAGCAATGACGATAGGGACATTAATCCGACAGTAGATGATAAACGAGATTTATTTGATACTTTTACGCAACTAGTTAGTGCTGTCTTTTTTAAGTCAACTTGTTCTAAAATGTATTCACTTTATTTTTAGCCATAATGCAATAAAAACACGTAATACTCTGATATGACAATACATATAAAAAATTAAGTTTTTGCTGGATATATCTTCTATTTATTCCTACCTATCTTTTATCTATTATTCTAAAAGTAAAAATAACAAAATGTGATTACTTTTCAGAAGTTAAATGATGTCGACCTTTCAATCGGCACTTTTATCATTAGAGGAAGTGAGAGATAGAGAACTAAAAGGGACATTTTTTTTACAATGATGTTCACTCTGTACACTCAAGAGCCACTCGAGGTAGAAGGTTACAGAGTAAGAGGTACAGTTTACGGTGATATGTGGGGAAGTTAACGATTGAACAGGCTAAGATTGTAGGAAGCGTTATCTTGAAAGCGGTTCGTGGAACTCATATCTCGCCAATGGAATACGAAGAGGATAAAGATGGTTCTTTATTGTGTACGTGGCAATGCATGTCTTAGTCATGAAGGTTACAACTGGTGGAATTAAGGAATGTAATGCATCTGAACACTTTCTATGGAAACAGCAACAGTACAGTTAGAGGCGAGCGACCTTCCGTCTCTGTGAAAGGTCATAAAAGAAAATAAATGAGAGAAGAGGAATAGTTATTCGTGAATATTTGTCTCAGATAAATCTGATTAAGAAATTCCAGTAAATATAATTTACAGAAATAAATAATCAGATTTCGTGTTTTCAGACAAAAATGTTGAAGGCATTGATACGTCATTAGATAAATTATGACAGCTTGAAAAATTAAATTTGGTAAATTTCTATCGGAAATTAATCTTAAATTCTGTCAGGCAGATACAGACAAGAGGAACAACCAACCATTTAAATTAATGCAACACTTTTTATAAACCATGTTTGATTGAATCAAATCAAATGAAAAATCATCCACAATTTTTCTTTTACTCAGATAAAAAAAACAGAAAGGAGAAATGGCTGGGCTGAATTCGTTCAGTTCACTTTCTCATAAATACATTTAAGAAATCTCTTCTCCACTATCAGCTAAAGTAAAATAGTAGGATACACTGTACTTCTCTTGTACTGAGGTGGCAGCTAGTCTATGAAAAGGAAAGTTGAATTCAAAATCAGAGTAAAAGAGGATGGGATCTGTCAGGATTTCTTGCACAAAGACATACCACTGTTGGTATGGATGGCTGCAATGCCCCTACGACCATAATGGGTTACGGGACTATTGACTTTGTATATAATAATATCTGAAGAAAGATTTATTGCGCCAAATTATTTTCAACGATTACTTGGCCATAAAATCAAAATAATATTTTACATTCTTTTGTAAAATGGATTTTTGGAAACTGACAATGTTTTCTTAGACCAGACGAAATCAAAGGGTACAAATCGAAAATATATAAAAGTATATATTTATTAACTATTCTGACATAATAAGTCAGTGTGTGTGTGTGTGTGTGTGTGTTGAATCACTCATTTTTTACGGCTTATCGACCTTTTGGATTTTTTATTGTAAAAATAATATTGATTTACTGATACAAGTCCTTCTATTTAACTCATAGCTGGGGGAAGAGAAACGGTGGATTCATGCCTTTCCTAAGGGTAAGTGAATATAACGAACCCAATTGGAATTGTAACTCGGCTTTCAGATTTCCAGTTGCCAACCATTATTCATTACACCACCCGCACATCCAAGCTTACAGAACCTGGTATTCTCAAGCGGTCACCCATCTAGGTACTGACCAGACTTGACGTGTGCTTAACTTCGGTGATCGTTCGAGAAACGGTGTTTCAATATGATATGTCCGTTAGCTTTTGTCTGCGTATATATATGTATGTGTGTCTGCGTGTGTGTATGTATGTGTGCATATGTATGTGCATGCGTGCGTGTGTATAATAAGCAGAGAAACATTATACAAGTATCGAAATAAAACTTATTAATGTTGCTGTATGCGTTGTGGTGTAATGGAGATCGGCTCGGGATAAGTCAATTCGGAGAGGCGAGTTCGAATACCAGTCGGGTTTGTTGCATTCACTTACGTGCACATACGTTCTTCTCCTCCCAACTATGGGTTGAATAATAGGACAGACTTGTTTGCTATATCATAGATTGGCAGAAAGAAACGACAACCTACTGCAGGATAATTTTTGCCTCGTCAGTCATGATTCGAAAGCGACATGATGGCCCAGTCACTTGACTGACTGAAAATTACGTTACAGAGCTAATTTTTTTTTTTTTAAAAAAAGGTCTTATAATTGGGATATATTTTGAATGTTTGGGGATCAAAATAAAGTTGTTCTGATTGACACTTCATTGTTTTTATATATTTGCATGTTTTTAATTAAATCTAAAATCCTATTTCCTTCAGCAAGTGCAAAGTAAGGTATACAATCTGAAAATCCTGGTGCAGCAAGCTGAGTTTATCATCCAAAACACTGACACAATATACAACATTGAATGTGACTTTAACCGACCTGATAAGAGTTCAGTTGAAGTAAAATCTGGACTTTCAGTTGCCGGGTACGTTCTCATTCTCATTTGTTTTTCGTATAAATGCCTGGTGTTGTCAAAGGTAGGAAATCTCAGAAGATTACTGTGGTACTGATTATTTCCCCTGATATGTATTCTATATTTAAGTTAGTCCAGTAGGACACACCCCATCCATTCTAAGTTGAATAAGCTTCACTTAAGTTACACCTACGTTCGTTTTTTCACTACAGTTACATTCTTAAGCATTCTATAAGTACAGTAAATAGAATGGGATTAAGAACTACAATATTTAAGTGATTAGTATTTAGTAGGTATGAACTAAAGAGAGAAACTTTGAAGAGAACATTTTATTTGAAGATGATTAAAAGTAAGTAAAATGTAATAAGAAGTAAGTTCATTCAAAGAGCTTCTTCCCAAGAATTGCTGCTTTATGGAATAGACTCCCGGCAGGATGTTTTCCCAACCACTACAATCTTAACTTTTTCAAGTCTAGGGTTAACCGTTATCTTTCCTTCCTAGCTCCAATGAACTTCATTTCTTGCCCTTCCTTGCGCTCATGCAACCCCATCACAGTAACCAATGTCTCTTGGGCTTTGTATTGAGTGATCATTAGTCTAATAATAAATTTAATGAAATAGAATCTATATATTAATGAAAAGATTTTTTTACGAAAATCCCACCAAATAAAACACACACGAAATATGAAAGAGGGGCGGGGGTGAAACTGACTCCAAAAATATATCCACAAAGGTTTCTAATAAACTGACCTATTCAGTATACAGTTCATTCATTAAGGAATAAGTACTGGAAATTGCATTTAAATCAGTTGATTCACTGATTTTTTTTTTAAATTTTAAAAGCATGTGATACCGATTTTTGCTTTAATTTCGGAAAAAACGTATTCATTTTTGTGTTAACATTGGATTTAGAAAATGCAAACCTGGGACATTTATTGGCTGTGCAAATGCTTCAGTATTTACTGTATGAAAACATTTTCATAATATTTCTTGATAAACACAATATTACTTTTTTATTTTTTTCTAGGTTTTAAATTGCAATGCTTGGATATAAATGATATATCGCATCTAGACTGAACGAAAATTATATCTTTATAGTGTTTATCGCCCCTGAGAGGTAGTAAAAATATCTACTTATTCCTCAGGTCGTTCTGAAAGTCTATAAACTTGAAAACGGAACTAGTCGATTTTTGAATATTTAGCCAGTGTTCGCGTTATTTATTTATTAGATTGTTTATTGGAATGGTTGGCTAATCGGCTAATTTATTCGAACTTTATGAAATTGTAAATAATAAGGATTTCCTTATCGCTGGTTCACATATTTTAATAATTTAGTATACGTTTATAAATTTATGAATAAAAAAGTGTTTTCCTAATTATTTCTTTATGAATTGGTAAATGATAAATATTGCATTGCATTCATTTTAATACAATTGTATTGTTTTTTTTTTAATATTTTAATTCCAAAAAACAATACTAAAACAATATTAAAATTCATAAAAAATTATTCATATACAAATTATTTTTGCAAATAAACAATCTAATAAATAGTGTTTAATATTTTTGTTGTAAATTCTCAAGAACAAAAAATGTATAAATTCATTTTCATAATATGTTTAAATTTTATTACAATTTTAAAACAATAAATACTGCTGGGAGTTGGTTATTAGAGTATAGCGGTGTCAAGGGAAAAAAACGTCTTTTTAACATTCCGTTTCTTTATTTTTTGTGGACACGAAAAACCAAATTTGCCAAATGCTTTATCTTCGTTTACATATTCAGCTTTATTAAAGATCAAAATTATTATTTGTTTAGCGTAGTGGTTATCGACGGAGAAAATGAAATCGGTGTGTCGAGTTCAAATTCTAGTTGAGGCTGTTGCGTTCGATTTCGCATAAATTATCTTGGAAAGAATGAATCCATCTCTTCTCCGCCTTGAAAGGATGAATCCATCTCTTCTTCGCCTAGCTAGATATTAATAGCAGCGGAAGCTGGTCTAACGTTAGTTGGCAACCAGACTCGGAGAAGGAAAACTCTGAATTTAAAACTGGTTGGACGTGGGTCTAGCAACTCCGACTCGTAAAAACCTACCTGCTAACGAGACTGCAGCAACGGTACCTACAGTGGGGAGGCTACACGGCAGACATACATTTTTTTTTTTTTAATCTGAAAAACTTTTCATTTTTTATTTTAAATTTGGATATTAAATTTTCGCATACTATGTCGTTTTCTCTAAGGTTGTCTTCATTTAAATAAGAATTACGAAAGTTTGATGTAGCTGTGATACAGTGGACCTCGCTAGAAAAAAACGAAGTCTAGTGGGCTGGGAATTATTTTATCTAAGCCTGAAGCACTGGTGTTTTATGATGAACAACAGTAAATTCTACATGTGAGGATTTCAAAACAACCACCTAATGTCTACAAATAGAGAAAAAGGAAATATAATAAGTAAATAAATAAAAACTTTGGAATCACGTGCCACTCGACCGGGAGATATGGAATTCCGGTCGTGGGCCTTACATCGTCAGGCTGTATTCTAAAAATGGCAGTCAAGAAGCTGTTGGTGGAGATATAGAGTCACGATTAGCGTAAACTTTTTTCAAAGAGAGCCAGATATGATGAGGTGAATATGCATGACGGCCAACCATTCTTCTTGGAATTCTTTGAGACATTAAAATTAAATGCAAATCTCATGAAAATTTTATTCAAAATGGCATATTTTTCATTTCTTCACATGGATTACAAATAAATTTAAATAAGTCTTACCAAAATCACTCAGCCTGTCATGTCTGAAGCCCATATAAGATGAATTAAAATATGTCTGAGAAAATAGAACTTCCAGGTTAATCTTAAACATTACACATTGGTAATTAATGTTGTTAAAAACATAGTAATAGAAACATAACACCAACATTCATCTTATTATAAAGTAGAAAACATAAAGTTACATAAGTCCAAGTGTCCAAATATATTTATAATTGATTTTGACCAAAACAAAACAAATTTAATTCACTAAGATTTTCGAATTTATTTATTTCAGATGACCAGACAAAGAACTTGTGTGCACTAATGTGAATAGTGATACTGTAGTATGTAGGCCAGGTCTGGTTCAAAAGCAGTGGTCTGATTCAAAGGCAGTGGTCTGATTCAAAGGCAGTGATTTTAGAAATTGACTGAGAAAAGGCTAAAGTCAGGATCACACTGCCAAAGGGCGAGCACACAGTAATGCTGCGCCATCTTTTGATAAAACATGAAATTGAATTTTCTCTACTTGACAATACTGGCGGGCCGTAAGTGATACCTTCTATGACAAAGGATGGGGCCATATGAAATTTGACCGCGAGCCGTAATTGGCTCCCGGGCCGGAGTGTGAACATGTCAGGCGTAAGCGGAATAAGATGTGAGTCGAGGTGTAGAAACTGCAGAGGGACAATCGGAGTTCTCGCTTGTCAAAAGGAAGCCCGGTCTGTTATTCTGCCGTGAGAGAAACAGTAGTCACAATGAAGCTGTCCTAAATGCCACTTAACCCCCCCCCTCTTCCAGACAATTCCAAGTGAATCTGTGAATAAATAACATATTGAAATCAGGATTTGTGATATCTTTTCTCGCTGTGGCGTTATTTCACCTTCCGTTCCCTTATGAACGTACATCGGGTCTTTCCCAGTTTTTTTGTTAACACCGGCGCAAAAGGGCGAATGGAAACAGATTAGGTCTAGTCGTTGAAAGACTGACCGATGACTACAGTTGTATGTTAACATAGGCATTTCTATCGTTGGTCTCTTGACTTATTCTGATGTAACTGATTAGTTCAGCACATTTGATCGATGAGGAATTTTAAAACCTAAAACTCTGAGGCTACATGTATAGTACCTTATCTTATTTTCCTTACCGCAAATTAAATTAAAATATTTGTAGGTTTTCAAACCATAGAAAGAAACTCCACTTACAATTAATCGAATATAAATATATTTTCTCCTTTTGGGTAAAGAATGATAATTTTCCCGATTTTATCCGAAAATCAAGTGAACGAGACTTTCCAATATCAATTTTTATTTTAATATTTCAGAAAGCCTCCCACGAAAAATGCAACCAAAGAATCGACCAGAGCAATTTTGAATGTGGTAGCAAGTGATGGAATAACACCGGTTCGAACTGTTTCCATTGGTGACCATATTCGATTAAAATTGACAGTTAAGTCTAACACCTGTTAGTGAAAGCATTGGTTATTTTATTTTATTTATTTATTTATTTTTACTTTTATCAGAGAAAAGCAATGTTCCTGGCTCAGGATAACAAATTT